CACAACACAAGACAAACTCAAAGATTAACTCATTGGCTGCCAAAGACATTTATAGACGTCTATTATGTTTTTCAACGAGAGTGTCTGGGGGACGATCTGCTAAAGCTTGTCCGTAAATATCAGGCTTCTAGACAGAGTATGTAGTAACAAATTGACCCTCTAGGGGGCAGTGCCACTTTTGATGGGAGATGAGCATAGACTGTAGGCAAATAAGAAAAAGGGAACGGTTCTATGAGAGAACATGTCGCCGGTGAGACGCAAGTCCAGGAAGAACGGAATAAGGTAGAAACACTTTTTTTTTCCTGATGAAAGAAGAGAGTCTACTCTTTCTTTTGGTGTGTTCGGTGTTTACATAGTCATAGCACAAACTATTCTGTGGCTCTTGAAAAATCAGTCAAAATGCTCAAAAAACTCAAAAAAACTGAAAATGGCTGCCAGTCAATGAGTTAAAAATAAATAGGATAGGGATAAAAGTAGAGTAAGAGAGGGAAATTAAGACAACTAAAATAAAGTCGAAGTCTCACTCAAAGGCCTGAGAGTAAAGGTGGGTCTTTAAAAGGGTTTTAAAAGAACTGAGTGTAGGGGCCTGTCTGATAAAAAGGGAAAGCTCGGTCCCCTCTGAGTTTCCGCTTTGCTCCAGGTGCCTTTAGAAGGAGCTGATCAGATGATCTAAGGCAGTGTTTTTCAACCTTTTCTGAACCGAGGTAACTTTTTACATTGAAAAAATCCAGAGGCACTCCAGCAACCAAAAATGTTAAACAAATCTGTAGCCGCCTATAGTAACACTATAGTTATTCTTATTTTATTCTTATCTTATCTTAAGTGTCTTGAATAGGAATCAAATAAACACAAAAATGTATTTTTATCATATTCTATATTTCTTCTTTCAAATTGCTCTTAACATGTCCACTTCATTATACAAAATTAAATAAAAAATCTAGTCATAAGGAATTATTACATGATTACGCCACATGTCACTAGAACAGCACAGACACTCAGAAATGGCATATTATTTGCAGATAATTAATTCCTTATCAAAAAATCTTTTTAGACCAATGAGGTGAAATAGGATGATTTTCTACGGCACACTAGTGTACCGAGGCACAGTGGTTGAAAAACACTGATCTAAGGGACCTAGGGGGAAAGTAATTTTGTAGTAGCTCAGAGAGGTATGGTGGAGCTAGGCCATTTATTGTCTTATAAGCAAATAAAAGGATTTTAAAATGAATTCTAAACTCAGCCAGCGTCTATCTATTTATCTATCTATCTATTTCAGAGCACAGGTCCCTGATGGAGGCCGCCTACGTGTACGGGTCCAGATACCAGTTCATCCTCAGCACCGGGGGGCCCGTTCTGAAGCAGCTGGGGTAAGTTTCTCCCCAGTTCAATTCAATTTAGTTTTATTTCTATAGTACCAAATGATAACAGAAGGTATCTCCCAGCTCTCCAAACAGAGCAGCTCAGACTCTGAGTTATTTACAGAAAAACTAGAGTTACAATTAAGAGAGGACAGAGAGAGAGAGAGAAGGACAGAAAGCTCATTTCAAATTCCAACAGCATCCCAGCCTTCTACTTTCATATT